TGAACATACTAAATTATACATGTTTTAGTCGCATGTTTTAAGCTGTAAACTGGTCGTATGAATATATGCAATAGAAGTTAAATAGAATTTATTATTTCCATTACTTTACATGTACAATGTTCTGTGACACTGAAAAGTCCCCATGGCACACCAATGGATGCCTCCTGTGGGAACCATCTGCAGTATAACACACTACTTCTTCTTTCTTTTCTCCGTCCATCTATATCTCCGTCTGCCTCGCCCCCCCCCTCCTCCGTCTCTCTTTCTCCAGCACTGTAAACATCCATTCATCTTACTCCCTCCTCTTCCTCTTCACTCTGTACTCTTTAACTTGAACACATCACACGACGGTGCGCATAACTCACCACCTCGCTCGGCCCAGCTGTCACTGTGTCCCTCCGCTTTCTCTTTGCGTCCTTCCTGCCCCGTCCAACATGCGTTTTCTATATTATATCCACATAGTGAGCTGATCAAGCACAGATGGATAGTTAATACTGCATTTTAACAAGCAGAGTTAACAAGCAGATGAATACAATTTATTTTCTTCCTTTAAATCCAGTTTTTACAGCCAAACATGATTATTTTTACGCCTGTGTCCTTGTAGGTGTGCATATGTGTGAGCATTAACACAGATGTGCAGAGCTGCAGGGATTGTGGGGGGTTTGCACCAGGGAGCGGAGCCTTCCTCTCCATGACAGCTGATAAAGATGCTACACGTGGCTATTGATGTGTTCATTGTAGGAGGAGAGAGAGTCAGGAAAAGCATGTTGTGCACATCAAATGGTTTATGTTCTGCTGTTGGCTGTTAGCCTTCCTCAGACAGGCAGTTTTAACGTTTAAGAATAAATACTGTGTGTGGCCATCAAGTCAAGAAGTCTCTTTAGGCTTTCTGTTAAAGCAAGTCACCTGGATTCACTGAGGAGTCAGCTGGTGACAACATTTCAACCGTTTCAAGCTAACGTACGCCTAATTAGCTAGCTAATAGCTTCGGCTAGCAAAAATCTGTCATCTCACTGGGTAAAAATAGTTCAGTTTTTTTACTTTTCTCATGAGTATCTCAGTAGAGTCAGAGGCAGAAGTTTCAGAGATAAAAACTGTCTCTAAGCTCGTTTTCTTTTCTTTTTTTCTGCCATCACGATGGCGCACGTTTCCTGATTTGTGCTTCCTGTGGTCGGGGTTTAAGTTAAACTGTAACTAACAGGCTCAGCGCTAATT